GCAGGTAGCGCGGGGCGGCCCCGGGTCTTTGCTCTTCTCTGCGGTCCGGGCCCCCTTGGTGGCCCCGGGCTGCCCGAGGGGTCCCACGGGGAGGCGCGTGAAGCGCGTGGGTGCGGGGTGCACGGGCGTGGGGACCCGCGGGGTGCGGGGAGCTGGCTGCACCGAATGGGGGTTGTGGCACGTGTGGGGCTCCCCGGGAGATGCGCCCATTCGGGGTGCGGGGGTGCAGAAATGGGGTTGGGGATGTTAGGGGTGCGGTTGAGTGGGGCAGAATGGGGATGTGGGCCACTGGGCACTTGTGAAAGGGGCACGGGGCGCTAGGGATGAGCAAAACTGGGATACAGGGCACCGGGGATGCCCGAAGCACAGCCTGGTGCGGGAATGGAGCCGTGCTGTGCACCGGGGAGGGGGCTGCGGGGCTGCGACGGGTCCTGGGGCAGCAGGGATGGGGGCAAAGTGCCACCCTGCTGCGCATTGCAAGGAGTGCGGTGATTTGGGGTGGCCGAGGTGTCCTTGTCCCTTCCTTGTCCTACTAGCGGGGCTGGGTGATGACACTGGGATCCACCTTGGGTTGGAGGCAAGGATCACGAATGCCTCTTTAAATGGGGGTCCTGGGATTCAGCGCATTTTCTAGAAAGCATAACCAGGACTGAGCTCTTTGATGCAAATCACATGGCTCTGGGAGGCAGCTCGGAGAGTCTTGAATGTTGTCCTGTGCCAGCCCCAAAAAACAGGGGCCGACTCCATGGGCAGCACTGTGGACCTGATGTCCCCAGGGCCAAGAACCTCCTGGGAAAGTTCTGATCCATGGGGCAGTCACTTAAAAATAAGTGGGGAAACCTGGTACTCAATTCCCATTACTTTAGATGTGTGGAGTCGGATGCTCTGGGAGCTGCTGGGAGCAGCCAGCATCCACTTTGCTGGATCAGGGCACATAAGTGTTTTTATTTCTCTCCTTCCCAACCTTGTGCGGAGCTGGCACATGTTGGCTCCTGGTGTCCCGGCCAAGCCGGTCCTTGAAGCGGGTGACACCAGGCTGGGGACACCGGCCATGTCCGGGGCCCCAAGCCCTGTGAGCGGGAGGAAACTCGGCCGCTAAGTTTAGCACTGAGCTGCACGCACAGAAACGAGCTGCCGCCGAGGTCCCTGCCGCTTTTGCTTTGGGCTGTGGCTTGATCCTGCGTTTTATTTATTTATTTCTTCTTCCCCTCTGCCGAAGCGGAGGGGGTTGCACGGGATGTGGGGAGATCTGGTGCAGAAGTCCTGCTCTTCAGGCCATGGGGAGATGTGATAAAGGGCGTTTCCGTCCCCTGAGGACACGAGTGACCCTTTTCTCCCCCAGTGGTCTGTGTGGTGTCGCGCTGCTAGGTGACAAAACAACCTGGCCCTTTAGTCTCTGACTCCATAGCTCATGCACAACATGTCACGCAGCCAAAAAAATGAGTAAACAGAGCTCTAAGTCGTCTTTTTGTCTTTCCTGTGACTGGGGCACACGGGCTTTGATCAAAGGAGCCAAGAGAGGAGTTTAAAATAATTCACAAGGGAAAAAAAATCCTCCAAAATACATGTTCTTGTTGCTGTCTCAAATATAGGTCCTTTAGGAGGCTCATTGGGCCTCTCATTGTCCCCCTTAGCTCACTCTTTTAGAGGGAGTGTTGTTCCCATTGGGATGCTATCCGGAAAGGTTGGCGGGCTGTATGTGTGGGGGAATTCCAGCATGTCCGAATCCAGGGAAACGGATACCAGCAAGTGCAGCTGTCCTGGGCATGTCCTCCTACATGAAACTGCTTTCCAAGAGGAAGCTGTTGCAAGGGGCAATTAGCCACTTGCAGATATACTTATTTTCCCTTTTTTTTTTCTCCTTTAAAAAGGAGAAAATTTGCACAGTAAAAGCTCAGGGCATGCAGACCTGCCTGTGGCTGCTCATCGCTGCAGGCGTTGCTATTTCCAGGTGCAAATGTGACAGGCTAAAGCCGAGTGTGGTCACTTGTACTGAACTGCTTTGCTTTTCTTCTCTACTATTATTTTTTTTCCTGGAAATCTCACTTCAGTCGCCAGTTCTGGGTGCAGGGACTGCTTATATTCAGCTAAAAACATATATAAAGATAGCAAAGCACCCTTGAGTATCTCCATACCCTCATTTTTAGCAGCCTGGCATGGAAATGTAGTAGCTCCTTTTTATTTCTGGTGCTAATGGACAAGCTGCCACCTTCCTGTTTCTTTTCCATGTGTTGGGATATCGGGATTAGAAGGGATCGCTTCACAGATGCTGACACAGTCTCGCTCGCAGGATGTGCGACCGGAATGGCGGGAGGCGGCTCCGGCAGTGGCTGATCGAGCAGATCGACAGCGAGCTCTACCCTGGGCTCATCTGGGAGAATGAGGAGAAAACCATGTTCCGCATCCCATGGAAGCACGCCGGGAAGCAGGACTACAACCAGGAGGTGGATGCGTCTATTTTCAAGGTAGGGCGAGATGGTTCATCTTGTTCTTGGTGTCTCCCGAACGCTGTTGGCAGAGGGATTTTCTTGGCGGGTAAGAAGCACCCTCAAGGTCTGCAGATTTTGCAAGTTTGTTCCTTCCAAGAGAAGCCTCTTCACCTCCTCTCCTGTGGGAATATATCTCCAGAGGCTCCTGTGGGGGTGGTTTGCATCTTTTCTGGCCTTTGCCTGGTTTGGATTCATTTCAACGTGTTGTAATTCTGGCCTGATGAGAGCAGGAGCTGAATAGGCTCTTTTTCACCCAACCTAACCTTCCCATAAGACTCTTTCTGCTGAAAGACGGGATTTACAAAAAATGAAGCTTTAGGGGAAGGAAGTGTCAGCTTTCCATGGAGCAGGGTCGGGGGGAGGGAACTTCACACTGGAGGTGGAGGTGAAGGACTGGAAAGCCCTTTCTTGAACCAGAAAGGTCAGATTCTTCCTCAGGAATTCCCTTGCCTCCCACTCCCACACTCCCAGACCTCTGCCATGGAGGATGGAGATGCCCTTAGGGGCATCAGCTAATTAGGTTGCCTTAGAATGGCGTAATTGGCAGTAATTTAGGGTGTGTGACTTGATATTTAAGCTTTCCGGGGATTTTAATTGGGGTGTAGGAGCATGGAGGGCTGTGGGATCCACGGATCTGCTGCAGCCCAAGCTCTGCTCTTGTCTCCCAGGCTTGGGCCGTCTTCAAGGGCAAGTTCAAGGAGGGCGACAAAGCGGAGCCGGCCACGTGGAAGACCCGGCTCCGCTGCGCCCTGAACAAGAGCCCCGACTTCGAGGAGGTGACGGATCGCTCCCAGCTGGACATCTCGGAGCCCTACAAGGTCTATCGCATCGTCCCCGAGGAGGAGCAGAAGTGTAAGTGTGTGGGTACGGGGCTCATCCTGGCTGTTCTCCAGGCTCCCTCCTCCCGCATCGGGGAAAAAATTGGGAATGTCACCTGCACACCATAAAATCAGGAGTGGGCAAAAGCCCCTAGGTGCAACTACACATTGCCATGTGGTGAGGGCACAGCTGAAGTTCTTCCTCCACTGAGATTTTTTTGATTTTTTTGTGGGGTGGAAGGGGAGAATTGAGCCTCAAATGCTTCATCCTCCCTGGAAGGTTGCAATCAATGCAGCGAAATAAATGCAATAAATCCCTTCCCTTTGCACAGCAGGCATGGCAGTGATTACAGTAGCAGCAGTTGAGCAGAGAGCAGTTGTTGCTGTGATGTCCGGTGTGGTGCAGGCTGCACTGAGTATATTTTTATTTGTGGTTAGGTGTGTGCGCGTGTGCTTTTTTCCTCTTTTAAAGTGAAAAAAAAAACTGCAAAAAAATCTTGCTGCCAGGAAATCTCCCTTTAGCATCTTGGCCGCGTTCACACGGAGGGCTCTGTGCAAACAGCCCTGCAGCCCCCTGAGGCCCTGCAGGGAAAGGAGATGGCTTGGGGGTGTGCCGAAAAACTGGGTGCTGCTGCTCAGTTTGATGGATCTTTCTGCTTGCCATGGGGAGACCTGCTTGGGGGGGCCTGGGCAATGCTGGCTCTGCTTCCTTGTTCCATAATTTTCATGGGATGGGGGGAATGTTTTCTATAACCCATTGGCGATGGATCGCAGCTGAATGCCTGTGTGTGTTCCCAGGCAAGATCGGCATTGCCAGCGGGAGCAGCTTGGCTGAGGTTACGGACATGGACTGCAGCCCCTCTGCGATCGATGACCTGATCAAAGAGGTAAATCGGTTCTTGAAAGTGCGTGAGACTCTTCCTACCAGGAGAGGACAAGCGGCCAAGATTTTTGATTGAAATGCAGTAAAATCTGCAGAGATCTGGGAGTCGGAGTGGCCCCAAAGGCCGTGTTTTCCTGCTACAATGGTCCTATTGATTTTGTAGCTGGCCGGGATGGTTATCCATGAATGGGCTGTGCTTTCGGTTTGCATTCGGCTCGGCTGGGCACGCACCGGGACACAGAGGCTGCCTTCATAGCCCCGTTCCCCTTCCCCGCAGTGTAACTCAGTTCTGCTCAGCAGCTCCCGAGTGTTAGCCGGGGACATGGCCTGGGGATTCCCAAACTCTCCCTTTCTAGGCAAAAACAGTCATCTGTGTCTTAAACTTAATTTCTTGCCTTGCCTTTTCAGCCCCTTTTTGGGGACTGCTGGTCCCCGTGCGTGACCTTTGTCTCTGGCTGATCTAACGGGCTGTTTCTCCCTGCTCCAGCCCCCGTGCGTGGACGAGTACCTGGGTATCATCAAGAGAAGCCCCTCACCACCGCAGGAGACGTGCAGAAACCCCCCGATACCGGACTGGTGGGTGCAGCAGCCCAGTCCCAGTGAGTATCCGATGGCCCATGCAGTGTTTAGGGTGGCTGAGCTTCCCGTCCCCCTTCCAGATAGCAGATGTTTTATCTTCCTTTCAATCTTTCAGTCTATTAAGAATTCTTAAAGTACCAGCTGCGAATGCTGTGGTCTGTACAAGAGACCTGGCAGTGTGATGCTCATTGCACAAGATTAAATCCACCCTAGTGTATTTGCTGGCATTTTCCATGCAGGAACAGGGAGTCTTGGGGCGCTTGTGGGTCCAGTGATGCTGAGCAGGACTTTGTGCCCAGGCTCTGTGGAGCTGGGCACTAAGACACAGACCTGTTTTTCCTTTGCCTACAGCTTTGCCCCTGATGAATGGATACCCCAGCTACGAGCAGCACCACTCAGGTAAGGCAGCTCCCCAGGCCCTGCTTTCCCTTCTTGGCTGCGCTCTGTGGCCATCAAATGCCTTTGGGGAGGTTGGTTTCCCCCTGTGCATGCAGCTGTGGTGGCAGGAGGTGGCTCTGCTCCCTGCCTGGCATCGGATGCTGTGCTGGCTTTGGGGGTGCTTGAGTATCCACAGCGTCTGTGGGCCAAGCAGGGACATGTCCCACCACTGTGGGGGTGTCCTGCAGGAGGGCATCTGTGCATGGGGCTGCTCCGGGACACTGGGGTCAGCTGTGCCTTTGGCTTAGGGCCATTTACACTGCAGGGAGGTGTGGGGTGAAGGCAGTGGGAGAGGAGGACTTTGAGTACCCCTTGCAGCATGGGAGCCTCTAATCCTGAGGCTCCGACATCTTCACTGTCCTTTCTGCGGTTTGGACCAGTGATGCTCATAATGCAGTGACTTTGTATATAAAATAGCTTAGATTGCAGCCATTTACCCAAACTGTATGTTAACTGGGTAGATCAAAAGAGAGGCAAAACCTGGGGAGAAGTATTACTTGGGCCAGTATGGAAGCACATCAAAAATCAACATCAGCCAGGAAAATCAAAGCTCAGGGAGGCTTTGGCTGCCCTTTCTGATGGGTCGTGTCTGTGCATCTCCCCACAGGCTACTCCCAGATGGTGATCACCTTCTATTATGGAGGGAGGCTGGCTGGCCACATCACCACCTCTTACCCCGAGGGCTGCCGGATCTCGCTGAGCCAACCCTCTGGTCACAGCGAGAAGCTCTACGCGCCCGACACCCTGGAGCACGTGAGGTTCCCGTCGGCCGACATGATCCAGAATGACCGTCAGAAGCAGATCACCAAGAAGCTCTTCGGGCACCTGGAACGGGGGGTCCTGCTGCACAGCAACAAGCAGGGCATCTTCATCAAGAGGCTGTGCCAAGGCAGGGTCTTCTGGAGCGGGAACACCATGGTGTACAAGGACAGGCCCAACAAGCTGGACCGGGATGAAGTGGTGAAGATATTTGACACCAACCAGTTCTTCCGAGGTTTGTAGCAGTGTTTTCTCTCCTCCTGTTCAGCTTTTGGTTACTGCTGATCCTGCTGGGGTTCAGCTGGGAGGCAGAGCTCAGCTGGGCTGGTGCTGCTGGTGGCTCTCCTAGGGGCTGAGTGACAACCCTGGTGGCTCTGACCACTGTGCTGGACTTGCAGTGAAGTCCATGAGCCCCAGATGTGTGGGTCCAAAGCATCTGTCCCAGGGCATCCACTATTCAGTCTTAAAACTGGCTAAACACCCTTAGGGAGGCAAATCCTTTGGTTGAGCCCTTTGCCTTGGAGCACTTAGAAGTTCTTGGCATCCATCACTGCTGAGTTACCCAGGGCTTCTGGTGTTGTGGAGTGGCTGTTTCCTCCTGGGGCGGGATAATCTGGTGTGTGAAGTGTCATTTAGCACATTCCTTACGGTTGGAAGCTGCACAAAACCGATTTGATTTCTCTTGAGCAAGCCGACAGGTTTCTTTTACAGCAGGATGCACTTGGTCCCTGGAGGGTAGGAGGGGGGTGTGTGGCAGATGTTCACAGCTGTGCCAGGTGACTTCCAGCTGTGCTCCCCTCCTTGCAGAGCTGCAGCAGTGCCACAACCAAGGCCGCTTCCCAGACAGCAGAGTGATGCTCTGCTTTGGCGAGGAGTTCCCGGACGCGGTGCCGCTGCGCTGCAAGCTCATCCTTGTTCAGGTGCGGCCTTGCTTGGGAGCTCTCCTCCCAGTCCTGGCTTCATTTCCCCCCTTTTCCGAGTTGCATCGCGCTCTTTGGGATGGGAGCTTCCTCCCCTGGGGCTGTGGGCTATTTGGGTGCAAAGATTGGTGGGGCGCTGGGTAAATATTGGCTTCTCAAAGCCTCCAGAGGTGCATGGGCAGCTCTTTCTTGGAGACACCATGCACCGTCTGTTACTAGCAAACGAAGCCCCTCTTGCAATTTAAAAAGCTTGCAATTTAAAAAGCTCTTCTGAATTGCTAGCAAGCCTGTTCACTCCCCTCTCCCCTGCACAACTCTCCCATTCTCATCACTCTTCACCCCGTTCCGCCGCTTGCATCTCCCCCACCTCGTGCTCGGCTCCCGGCTCGGTGGAGCGTGGCTGGAGGCGATGCCTCAAGATGCTGCTCTCGCTCAGTGTCCTCCTGCCCCTCGGATGCAGGTGGAGCAGCTCTGCGTGCGGCAGGTGGTGGAGGAGGCCACCAAGACGTGCGGCAGCAGCCCCATGCTCCCGCTGGCCGAGGAGGCGCAGCCCGACCAGGTCTACAGGATCTTCCAGGCCATCTGCGGGCCGCGCCCGCTCTCCCGAGAGAACCTGCCGATTGCGGTCTGAGCTGCCGCCTTCCCAACACAGAGAGGCTCTTTGGGTTGATCTAGGTCCAGTCTGGTTCCATTAGTGCCTAAATGCTCCTTTTGGAAAGTGTCTTCTGGTTCTTGTCGTTCTTTGTTTCTGGTCTAGATTCTGTATAAGCACAAGAGTTTAAAAAAAAGTTGTCAGGTTTGGAGATATTTTATTGGAGATAACACTGTTTGTACTGACTGAGATAGTCCTTGCGTTGCTGCCCCAGCTGATGGCAGGAGAGGAGAGCATGGAGCTGGGAGGGGGATGCTCTGCACTAGCAGCACTTTGTGCTGCCCCTGTTAAATACAAACCAGGCAGAGCTGAAAATCAGCAGCTATAATGACCTGCCCTGATCTGCAACTTGGACATGGCTGTGAATATCAATTTGTAAGGAGGCAACTCCTGGATAAGCTTTAAAATGATCAAATGCAGTAAATTTATCCCAGAACTTTTTTTTTTCCTCTCTCTCCCCAAAAGAGTCAGTAATACTGCTGATAGATAAGGTATGCCTTCCAAGGAAAACTTCCTCAAAGAAATTCCTGTCTTTATTTTTGCTAGAGATTTCTATTTTTATTTGCAACATGGAATTACTTTGAAATTTGGAAACCAGTGCAGCGATTATATATGTAAATGTTGGATATAGGAACCTAGAAGTTTTAATTCCTCTAACCAGAGACAGTTTATATAAATATATATAGAGATATGTTTTATTTGGAAGGTCTTGGTGTAGGGTGAATAGGCTGGCTTCACTCCAACATGCACATGTTGCTCTCCCAGGCATGACCAGCAGTGTGTCCATGTGTAAATCCTCACTAACTTGCTTCCTGTGCGTGTGACTAGGACATGGGGCTTGGGGCTTGCAGCTGGTGACAACCCGGCACTGTGCATATGTTGCTAAAGCTGCCTATTTATTGTACGCCTGAGTTTTTTGGTTAAAGTAATTTTTTATCTTTCTGCAAATAAAGTGCTATATTTTGTATCACTCTTGCAATGGTCCCTTTTTTTGCATTGCAAGTGGAGTGCCAAATCTCTGGAGAGGGCAGATGGCACCTCTGCCTTGTTCCTGCCTCTGTTTCCCTCCTGTTCCATAAATACTTGACTTCAATTTGGAAGCAGGAGGGGGGATGCAGCTCCAGGGAGGAGGAGGGGTGTTGCATCCACAGGATTTTGAAGATGGGTTGATATCCATCTCCCACAGCACTGATTCAGCTGCCCTGTGCTCCTGGCCACGATGGTCCAGGCCTCGTTGCTCCATGTTCCTTGCAGTCCTTTGGGAAGGCAGATGGTTGTCCTGGCCCTTAGGTTGCTTGTTGGAGCTGTAACCCCATGTCCTCACTACCGGCCTTTCTCAGGGGCTGCAAGTGCCAAGTCTTGTGTGTTTTGGGGTATTTGGGGAGGGCTCATTGGTGCGGAGCCAGGAGTTAATGGCAAAAAAGGGAATTTCAAGGTTGGCGAGGCAGCGAGCTGTGCATCTGCTCAGGGGCTGGCTTCGTTTCAAGCCTGATGCTGCAGCTGCACCGGGAGCCCAGCCAGCCCCTGCCTGCTGTGTCCCCTGTCCCTGTGAAGGACAGATAGAAGTATCAGCCTTGTGCAGCCTGGTGTGAGTGGCTGCTGTGTGTTCTGCCCCTGCTCGGTGCATCCTGACACCCAAGGGACCATGTAGGGCAGTGCCTGCGGTCTGCAACGTCCAGGCTGAATCTCCTTGGGAAATGCTGCAGGGAAGGAAGCCAGGCTGTGAGTGTGTCTGCTTGGCTGCTGAAGAAAATCAGCCCTCGCTTGTTGCTTTTGGGCTCCTTCCCCACCTTTTTTTTAGTTGATGACAGATCTTTTCCCCAAGCAAAAAGGTGCTGTCATGACCCAACTGAGGTGGGAGGACACAAACTGCTTGCAGCTTATGCTATTCCAACATGAATACATGTTCCATCATGCCCTGGCTCCTGGCTTTCCATCCCTTTTGGGGTGACCATCTCTCAGCTTTCCTAGGGAGATGTCTCTGAAATAACGAAGCGCTTGGGTCTCGTGGGACTTGAGGCTGTGCAGGGCGCTGCGTCAGAAGGGGACCGGTTTTGCATATAATTCGGCTTCACTACCACCCAGGTCGAACTAATGCAAAAAAAAAAAAAAAACCCATGAGAAAACAGGGCTGGCCTTTCCCCTTTAGCACAGGCTCTTTGGGCAAAGCACCCATTCCGCTCAGCCCTCCTGCAGCCGGTTTGTCCCCTGGCCGCGGTGGATGGAGCTTGTGAAACACATGACGGCCGTGGGCTGCAAGGACAGAAGCAGCTGGTGGTTTCCCCAGCTGGCCTGGGATGAGCCCTTCCTCCGAAACCAGCCTGGTGTGCGCCGGGGCCACCTGCTCCGCGCTCCGGGCTCTTTCGATTTCCACCCCAACACTGCGGGAAAGCAGGGGGGAGCACGGGCAATGGCTGCTGCAATGGGCTGCGCTCCTTGTTTTCAGCGTTCCCGTGGTGCTCCAGGGCCTTGGATCCATCTGGGACCTCCGCAGAGCCAGGATGTCCCAACCATCGGCCCCACCAGGTCCAAGAGGAGAGAGCTGGTAGCCCCGGGGTGATGGGGATGGGGACTGTGGGATGGGATTAGTCATCCTGATGGATGGTGGCTCAACACAAGGAGCTAGGTTGGTTTTCTTTTCCCACTGTGAGACTGAGGAGGGTTTTTGGGCTGTAAGGTGGTTTCTGCGATTGCAGACAGGTTCCTGTTTTGCAGAGGGCTCAGGTAGGACACGTGGGGTTCAGGTCTAAGCTCTGGCCAAGCTGGGCTCCCTGGCTCCGCTCCCAACCCCAGTGTGGGAAGTGTGGCCAAGGAACAGGACCTGCGGCTCCGGAGACGGAACGGCTTTCCAGGTGCTGCGCTAAGCCATGCTCCGACCCATGCATCCCAAGGGAAGACACCCATCGCTTCCAGAGCTCTCCTGGCCACCCGGAGCTCCTCCAAACAGCCTCATTTAATCCCCACGGGCTCCCTCTGCGCACACCCATCCTGGACCTCCTTCCCCATGAGCAAGTCCCCAGGACACGGGGACAGATCTTCGGCGTCCTCTGTGCTCTCCGCAGGTGCAGGTGGTCCCGGGAGCTCGTGGCCGCGCTGACGAGCTGCTCATGCAGCTGCGCTGAACCCCGGTGGTTTTGGGCTACTGAGGCTTCAAATACTTTCGTTGGTTTCTGTTCGCTCGGCTTCTTCTCCATGGCCGCAGTGAAGTGAAACCTCAACGTCTCCTGTCTGCTCTTCTTCATCCACAGCTTGTCATCAGCACGTCCGAGCATCTTTCTAGCTAGGATTCTTTCCCCAGGTTCCAGGGATGTCAATCCTACTTGGGATAGCAGCTCATTCCTCCCCAGTGAGACAGGATTTGAGCAGAGATCGGATACGATGACCTCCAAGGTCCCTTCCAACCCCAATTATTGGATGATTAAGGTGCCAGGGAGGATCTGGGAAGCCTGAGAGCCATAGGCTCGGAATATTGTTCCCCACAAAGTGTTCCCCCACTTTCTACTATTTCAAGCATGGTTTGCAAGCCTCCCAAAGCAGATGTTTGGGCTGGAGCAGTTATGTGGTTAAACTCCCTCCTGAAGTGGAAATATTCCTCGTTTCCTGAGAAGGCCCACACGGTTCCTACTGCTGTTCTGGAGAACACTGCAGCCCCTGAGGACAAGTGATGGCACCTTCTGGGAATTTTCCATGCTAAACTCCTGCCTTTTGGAGTGAAAAGGCAGAGAAAAAGAACAGCATATGTAGAAAAAAGGGAACTTGGTTTCTGTGGAGGAAGGCTTGACCTTTTCCTTGCAGAAGATATATCTGATTCTCCTCATAGGAAGGAGCAGTGTACTTAGCAAGTCCTCATATTGGTGAGTGGAGAAGTGTGGGCCAGGGTAAGGAATATGGCAGAATTATCAGTTGCCACTTTTTTTGAGGTTTTATAATGTAAAGACATCTATTCTGGGGGGTTTGCTGGCAGACTTTGGTTTCTGGGCACTGGAAAGGACTTGTGCTCTCTGACTTGGCGTGTCACTTGGGCTCAAAGCCAACCTTGCTCCAGAGATGTGTTATGTTGGAAGGCTGTTGTACCCTGTGGAAGGACTCGCTTTGGGAGAAAAAGAGCCTGATTAAACACTCTGGGGTCATCAGTCTTGTCCTTTAATGTTTTACTTGGTGTTTCAGTAGTTTCCTATGACCTGTCTGTCAACAAAGACAAAAAATAGACCGCTGTATGAAGCTTTAGGAGCAGAAATCGGTGTCTTCAACGACAGCCAGTTTCTGCCCAACCCTACTACACATTTAAAAGGTTACATGGTTACATATACAGTAAGTTATACGGTGACAGAACTCTAATAGGCTCATTGGGCTGGGGAGGAAGAAGCGGAGGTTTGGATACAGAGCTCCAGTCCAGCCAAAGCTCCTGAGATTTAGTCCTTCTATTCCTGGAGAAATGGGAAAAGCTCCATAGCCATCTCCTTGCAGCTCTGGAAGCAAAGTGCTCTGTGCAAAAATGACCGCAATTCAATCGCAGATCCAAACTCACAGTTGAACTGCTCAGGAATACGAAATAAACCCACTACAGCTGCTTCCTCCAACCTCCCGCTGCTTGGTTTGGGCCCCCACCGGCTCCTATAGGCGTTAGAAAACAAACAGTCACTTTTTATTTCTAGACACCAGGGTTTCCAACTGGTTTGATTGCTCAATGCACCATTTCGGCACAGCAGCCCGTCCACGGAGAGCATCTCCGTGCTCTTCCTGTGAGCGTGTTGTAATATGGGAAGCAACCTCCTTGGCACAACAGGACATCTCCTCCCTCCTGCTGCAGGGCCAGGGGCTCTGCTCGCTGCTCCGGGTTGTATCCCTGCCCAAATCCTGCTGGCACGAGGTCGGTGATGGTTCAGGCTCTGTGATTCTCTCCCCCTTGGTGTTAGTGCTGTTCATTGCTCCCCTGAGTTCTGGGACATGTTCTGCACCAGAAAGAGCTGAGTTGTCCC